AATTGGACATAAACTATTCGAAATGGGGCTTGACAAAATACCTGGTGAATAAAAAGTCAACCTCCTGCAAAAAGTAGCTATTTTACGAAGCTTAAATATATTAAGATAAGCAACATCCCTTCATATGCAAACTGGCAATATTATTGGTCTGGCTGACCCGTCACTGAAAACCATTTAGAAACCACTAGACAAAGTGATTTAAACTGTAATAATATAAAATAATAACAGTAATAATAATGTCATTATGTCCAGCCCTAGCAAATTCAGATTATCTGGTTAGACATAAAAATGTAATAAATATATTCACTGGAGACTTTATAAACAATGTGATGTTGATGTGAAGACCAAATGGCATGGACATTAATCAGCAAAACATATTGCATTTCATACAGAGCCTAATGATGTTATCAGTTTTCCAGGCTGTGCAAACAGCGGCAACTGGTTAAACTCCAGCAAATGCCACAGAGCACAATCTGGAGTCCCCAATCTCAAGAACCTTTTGGGCTCTTTCCAACCTGCACCTCATAGTCTCCGGAATTAGGTAAACAGGATGCGATGTTCCAGCGAGATAATGTGCAGTCCATTCCAATAACAACAACAACAACAACAACATTCCATTTATAAAGCGCCTTTCACGTCAGGAGGACGTCCCAAGGCACTGCACAGTTGGGTCATGACCCGAGCAGGGGGGAAATGGTCAGGGTGAGGGGAGGGAAGGGAGGGAGCGAGGAGGGGGAGGAGAGTCGAGAGGGGAGCTGAAGGCTCGGTCAAAGAGAATAAATATCTCGGGAATTAGCATTTATGTATGGGAATCATGATCCTCTCAGTTTGTTTTGGATACTCTAAAGCCTGTTGAAGGTCGGACACCTGGCTGACCAAAAACATCTTCAAAGCTGAATAATTGCCTTGTTCTACTTGAATTACTAGTCATGGTAAAGTGGAGCACACTCTCCCTGTAAGCTATCCCATCAATTGGATGGAAATACCAGATGTTTTACATCAGAAATATGTCTCGAAGCACTTCACAGGAAATACTGTAAAGTCCAGTGAACATGTGTTTGTGAGCAAACACACAACTAATTTGGGCACAGTGACGTCTCACAGACAATTGTTTGATCAATCAAGATATCAGCTTGGGTCAGTGATCAATCTCTCGCCTCTAAGTTGGAACATTAAGGAGAAGTCAGAAAGAGATGCTGTCCTTTGGATGAGACATTAAAACCAAGGTCGTGTCTGTCTGTCCATCTGGATGGTATAGATACCATGGCATTGTAACAAAATGGAAGCAATTTTCTCTCTTTGTATCCTGGGCAACTCTACCCCAAACAAAATTTGTCAGTCACAGTTTGTGCGACGCTGCTGGGTGCAAACTGGCTTCTACATATCACCCACAAAAGACACTGTCACTACACTTTACAGTATTTTGTGTGAAGTGTTTTGAGACATCTCAATGATATGATAAGGCGCTGTGCCAAATTATTATTTACTGATATTATTTGGGGGATAGAAACTCTCTTCTCTTTCTGGCATTGACTGATTCAGACTGACAGGAACTGGATGAGGGAAATCGATCTCGAAGATCATTTATATCATGGGTCAACTTATTTAATGATACGACTGAACGGATATTTCACTATCATAAAGAGCTCCTGTCTGAATCTCCTCTGTGTCACTGTGTAAATGCATGTGTTGGTGCAACAGCTAAGCAAGAGAAACATGTAGCCCGTTTCTCTGAAGATAAATACAGAGACATTCTAATAGCTGGTCACAATTCAATAAAACACAATTTGTGCCATGTAAGTCGTCCACAATAGGATTAAACTGCCAGAGATGCTGAAGAGAAAAACGATGGATTTTCTTCTGCTCTCCATCTCCAGGTCTTTCTCCTTCTCCCCATTGCGGTAGCCTCGGAGTCTCTTGCGGGCTCTGCTGCCCACGAGGATGTGTCTAACGGTCATGGTGTTGAGCAGGAGAATCAGGTAGCAGGGGAGAAAGGGAGTCAAGGTGTTGTGAATCCAGTCATACATGGCCCATATCTGGGAGGTATAATAGTCAGAGACTAGGGCACATCCCATTGCACGTTGTCAACAACATAGCTGGCCTGACGGGTGAAGCACATAGGTATGTTCTTCAAACAAAAAAATACATTGACTGAAGCGATGGCCAACAATGTTCCCCGCTCCGTGTAATACTTGGCTTTGAGTTGCTGGCACCAGATGGCCACAAAGTGATCGAAGGTAAACCTGACCGTGAGCCAGAAGGAGATGTCTGTGGACGAGTAAAGTAGGATCATTCTGAAACCGTAGACAGGGGTGAGGTCCAGGAATGAACCTGGGGAAAAGGTCGCACAGACTCGGTTCAAAATCACACTGTTGATGATGACCATCAGATCCGCAGTTGCCATGGAGACTAGGTAGCGAGTGATGCGCTGTGAGAGACCACATCTCCCTCGGGACAAAATCACGATAGCCATCAGGTTAACTGTAAGGGAGAAAACATGAAATGAATAATAGTAATAATAATAATAATAATAATCCTTGCATTTGATATAGCGCTTTTCATGTCGGAAGGACGTCCCAAAGCGCTTCACAGAACACACTGTAAAGTGAATTGACTGTATAGCGAGAGAGACAGGGTCATAGACAGAGAGAAGCACAGAAACAAACAGAGATAGAGAGAGGGAGGCAGGCAGGGAGTTGTGGAAGCCAGATTGCAATTTAGGGCTGGGTTTGGGGCTGGGGTTGCGTTTGGGGCTGGGGTTGGGTTTGGGGTTGGGGCTGGAGCTGGGTTTGGGGCTGGGGTTGGGGCTGGGGCTGGGTTGGGGTTGTGTTTGGGTCTGGGGTTGGGTTTAGGGCTGGGGTTGGGGCTGGGTTTGGGGCTGGGGTTGGGTTTGGGTTTGGGTTTGGGGCTGGGGTTGTTTTGGGGTTGGGTTTGGGGCTGGGGTTGGGTTTGGGGCTGGGTTTGGGGCTGGGGTTGGGTTTGGGGCTGGGGTTGGGGTTGAGTTTAATGCTGGGGTTGGTGCTGGAGCTGGGTTTGGGACTAGGGTTGGGTTTGGAGTTGGGGTTGGGTTTGGGTTTGGGACTAGGGTTGGGTTTAGAGTTGGGGTTGGGTTTGGGGTTGGGCCTGGGTTTCGGTTTGGGACTGGGGTTGGGTTTGGGGTTTTGGGCTGGGGTTGGGTTTGGGGCTGGGGTTGGGTTTGGGGCTGGGATTGGGTTTGTGGTTGGTGCTGGGGTTGGGTTTTGGGCTGGGATTGGGTTTGGGGTTGGTGCTGGGGTTGGGTTTTGGGCTGGTGTTGGGATTGGGGCTGAGTTTTTGACTGGGGTTGGTTTTGTGGCTGGGTTTGGGGCTGGAGCTGGGTTTGGGGCTGGGTTTGGAGCTGGGGCTGGGGCTGGGGTTGGGGTTGGGGCTGGGGTTGGTGTTGTGTTTGGGTCTGGGGTTGGGTTTGGGCTGTGGTTGGGGCTGGGTTTGGGGCTGGGGTTGTGTTTGGGTTTGGTTTTGGGGCTGGGTTTGGGTTTGGGGCTGGGGTTGAGGTTGGTGTTGTGGTTGGGGTTCGGGCTGGGGTTGTGTTTGGGACTGGGTTTGGGGCTGGGGTTGAGTTTGGGGCTGGGGTTGGGTTTCGGGTAGGGGTTGGGTTTGAATTTAGTGCTGGGGTTGGTGCTGGGGCTGGGTTTGGGGCTAGGGTTGGGTTTGGAGTTGGGGTTGGGGTTGCGCCCGGGGTTGGGTTTGGGGCTGGGGTTGGGTTTGGAGTTTTGGGTTGGGGTTGGGTTTGGGGCTGGGTTTGGGGCTGTGGTTCGGTTTGGGGCCGGGGTTGGGTTTGGGGTTTTGGGCTGGGGTTGGGTTTGGGGCTGGGTATTGGACTGGGGTTGGGTTTGGGGCTGGGGTTGGTGCTGGTGTAGGGTTGTGGGCTGGTGTTGGGTTTGGGGCTGGGGTTGGTGCTGGGGTTAGTTTTGGGGCTGGGTTTTTGGCTGGGGTTGGGTTTGGGGCTGGGTTTGGGGCTGGAGCTGGGTTTGGGGCTGGGGTTGGGGTTGTGTTTGGGTCTGGGGTTGGGTTTAGGGCTGGGGTTGCGGCTGGGTTTGGTGCTGGGGTTGGGTTTGGGTTTGGGGCTGGGTTTGGGGCTGGGTTTGGGTCTGGGGTTGGTTTTCGGGCTGGGGTTGGGATTGGGGTTGGGGTTGGGGCTGGTTTTGGGGCTGGGGTTGGATTTGGGTTTGGGTTTGTGTTTGGGGCTGGGGTTGTTTTGGGGTTGGGTTTTGGGCTGAGATTGGGTTTGGGGCTGGGGTTGGGTTTGGGACTGGGGTTGGATTTGGGGTTGGGGTTGGGGTTGAGTTTAGTGCTGGGGTTGGTGCTGGGGCTGGGTTTGGGGCTAGGGTTGGGTTTGGTGTTGGGGTTGGATTTGGGGTTGGGCCTGGGGTTCGGTTTGGGCCTTGGGTTGGGTTTGGGGTATTGGGCTGCGGTTGGGTTTGGGGCTGGGTTTGGGGCTGTGGTTGGGTTTGGGGCTGGGGTTGGGTTTGGGGTTTGTGGCTGCGGTTGGGTTTGGGGCTGGGAT